TTGGATATACCGTTAGTGAATAAAAATAAAAGATCTTTACCGTTTTCATGCACGAACGCGAATAGATCTAACACGACTAAAGCCGATAAAACGAGATGGACGTGATCGTTTTACTGTAAAATATTTTCGAACAAAATTCTAGACAGAATTTTAAGGAAGAGAAGTGTCGGAGGAAGGGATAGAAGAGGAAAGGTAAAGTTATAATCGTCATTTCACTACAATTTTTCGAACGATATGTATACTCGTATACTATATCGATGCGTTGACATTTCAAAAAAGATGCACATGATGATATCTGAATACGTATATAATATATACATATATATCTATATAATAGCTGGATATTATATATGTATCAGCCTAAGTTATTTACCATTCAATATTGTAATATATTTCAATCGGTTAATTTTTTAATATTTATTTTCCAAATGGATTCCTCCTTCGTTGCATATCAATTTGATCATTTAGCAGGTAAATTGGCTTTTTTATATTTTTTACATACGAACTATGGAGGGTAGAGGTAAGAAGTATCGTCTGTGTATATGAAAAGTGTCCGTCGAAATGCATTAAATTAGGGTGGCGCCACATTAGCATCAGGGTAAATTTTAAGCGCTAAATATTATTAAAGTAGGATTGAGAAATAAAAAAGGAGCACAAATTTCACAACACAAATTTTACCCATAACTGTTTTGTTATTCACATACTTTTTCATAAAATTAAATGATAAAAAATCAATAAACGTACTATTACCAGTTCACGAAATAAAATCACTCTAGCTACACGTTTTCTCATAATAATTCTTTAAGGTTATAGAAAGGGTATGGTTCATACCATACCCTTTGTCTACACCAGCGCCATTCTGGAAGGTTTTTGAACTATTATTTATAGCATACGCTGGAGACTTTCTCAAATTTTCTTGCATATGTGATGATACTCCTTACCTCTACCCTCCATAATACGAACAAATCAAATGATAAAAATTCTTTTGTTAAGTTAGACTTCGATGTTCAAATGCTTTTGAGTTCAATATTATTTACTGATTGTCGTCATGAGAAAACACAAAAAAAAATAAATAATTTTTCAGTGGAAATAAGATGACTTATGTAAAGAATTCTTATCAACTTTATTTGATATAAATTTGTTAACAACGGAAAGAACTTTTACGATCACAACATTATTTCAAAGATCGAGAAGAAAAAAAAATGTTGATGGAAAATAAAATAAAAATGTTTTTTTCTTGTTGATCTTTATTACGGTCTCGGTTATGGTATCATTATTTTAAACAATGACAAATCTTTGGTTATTTCATTCAACAATAATGTAATACGCTAAAATAAGAAAAAAAAATATAATTGAGCCCATAATTATGAAAGTGTATGTAAGTAAGTATAATAAACATAATAAATTATGTAAGTAAGTCATATATCTCTTGTTTCGAGATATTTAAAGATTTATACTTGAACACTATACGAATTCTATACAATATTGAAATAAGAAACATTATCTAACGATTCATTTTTGATAATATCGTGAAAATTACATTGAATTTATTTAGTTTATAATAATGTAGTGCGTAATAACTGATAAACTCATTTTTTATTAATTTTGACTTAGACCACTTTCATAATTATGAGCACAATTAATTATCATCGAAACTTCATTCAGTATTTCTAAAATGTTCTTTCGGATAGGAATGAATGTTTTTCTTTCTCTTTTCTTTGTTTTTCTTTATTCGCAGAGAAAGGTCAGAACAAGACTTCGAACTCGATCTTTCGTTGGTCAATTTACTCGTAGTTCCCTGATAAAAAAAACTTTCATCTTATTGTTTCTTCTTTTATCGAATATCCAATATAAACGAAAAATATTGTAGTAATTTTCGAAGTATTGTTTTAGAAGTTGTTCTTGATTGTAACATTTAATATTAAAGAACTGAGAGAACATACGACTGTTCTTATCTACATATATTAAATTCCCTATTGCAATTTACATATATAATAAATAATTATTTTTGTTATTGCTACAAAAGGAAATATATGGAAAGTAAAACTCTTATGTATGCATAACCATTCTTGTAATATATAAGTGAGTTTTCTAAACTCGTCTTCTCAAATTGTAATATCTTCGCTACTGTTGTATCAAGAGTATTAAAGTAGAAAATGTATATTAAAAAAAAAAGAAAACCTTAGAATTATTTTTATTATAAGTATCGTATTTGTTCATTTATATGTTTCGATAATAATGAAAATTGACTAACAATGAGTCAACAAAAAATATGGTTAAATTTCATTTTGTGTTTCTTTTTATAATATATTATAAATAATAGTATTGTAAAATCTGTTTCGTCAATTTTTTTGTGCTTAATTAACTGTCATTACCTGTACCAAATCTTGCCAAAAACGTGAATATTTTGTCTAATGGTTTTTATCAGTCTAGATTATTTCAAGCGTGGTTGGAATACCTAAACGTAGAAAATTTTAATGTGGTATGACAACGGAGAGCAACAAAAAAGTATAATTTTACGGTGAATAGCTTAATGTCGAGCAACATAGAGGAAAATTACGAAGAAAATCTCAAAATACGAGTATATTCGTAAAAATCGATTTCCTTCCGAATCTCGTATTATTATCGTCAATTGGTATAAATAAATAATCGTTAAATAGAAGAGTTTGTTATTTATAATAGTTGATTCAAATTATTATCTTTCTGATGTGAGATATGCGTAAATTAGTATTTTGCTATAAATTTTTTGTTATCATTTCATACGATTTTCCTCAACTTCCTCATAAATCTGATTCAAATTGGCAATTGTTTATAACTCGATTCGAATAGTCGAACGATAATTTAGATCGCAGCGAAGTTTATTTCTCTCGTTCCTATAAATAACTGTATCTATTTTTAACTGTGAACGTTTCTACAATACCTTCCTCTTCGCACTAATAATAAAGCGTACGTGACATCAACAGAAAAAGAGAGAAAGAGAGAAAGAAAGACAGAGAGAGAGAGAGAGAGAGAGAGAGAAAGAGAGAGAGAGATACTCGCGATATTGGAATATAATGATAACGATGGATATCGAAAAATAGTTGATCTCTTGCGAGCATTCGAAAAAAAAATGTGAAATATTGTTTTATGGATTACACGAATTGAATATGATATTTTGCAATATGCCACAGTTAATTCTTTGTCGAATTTTTTCTCGGCCATATAAAACGTTTTAATCTCAAACATAGAAACATTCTTTTTTTGCTTTTACACGATCACGTTTTTGAATTTTACGATTTTGAATTCGTTTAGTTATAGACGTGTTAATAAAATGTATAATCGAATTAAAGTTATATCGTGTATATGCTATACATATTCTTTTTAATTTTCAAAAATAAATGCGTTATTCCATAGCTGTTAAATTTAAAAATAGAAACGTATTTTTTTTCTCTTTCTAATGAAAGTAAGATAAAAAAGAAATCAAATGAAAGGTTTATGTTATCATAAGTCAAATGTAATTTGGATTCGTTAAATGTCATTGTTATTACCTTTTACACCGATCGTTATTATAATCTCATTGAACACATAAGATTCTTTTCAAATAACACGAATTCAAGATATTGTCTGACATGAGATAAAATCTGAAATTCTAGGGGACACGACAGAATCGTTGAGTTCATATCGATCGGTACCAACTTTACGCAAGATATACCTACGTATTATATTATATATACATATATTTCTATTGTATTGTAGTTCCCTTTCTGAAAAAAAATAAAGTATTAAGTTAATGTACGGTCGAGGCTTAAAAAAGACAAGTTAAAATAGGAATTGCATTTATTCGCGCTAATTTATTCGCCAACGAAAGAAATGTCAGCTGGCGGAAAGGATAAAAGCAGTGCTTTCGTGAGATAAAGAGTTTATTGATGCGTTCAAAATTCACGTCCCAATAAACATGAACGAATCGACCAATCAAAATCACGCATTTTCTCTATTTTTTTTTTCTTCTCATTTTTCTTTTACCCTTCTTACGAGAGAATCTCCCTTTTTAATATCTCATAAAAATTGTTTCCAAGATTCAAACGAGTATAGGTAAAGAAGGTAAGAAAGAAGACGAAGAAAAAAAAACACCTTCTTTTTTTTTTATTTAAAAATTATCTCCTTTTACGTATCGAAATTCCACAAATCCAAATATATATATATATATATATATACGAAAATCAAATTCAACTCATAAAGTTAATTTAATAAAATTACAAAAAAATGAAACCGTAATAAATAAGAACATTTTCCACTTACCTCGAAATTGAAGATTAAATCTTCGTTAAGTTTAACACCAGTTGCCAATTAGCAACGAAAAATAGTGATATATCAAATTTACGAGTAAAACAATAGAATAATAGAAATATATATATATATAGAAAGAGATAGATAGATAGATAGATAGAAAGAAACACCTGTTGTATCTTAATTTTAAGACCTTAATCCATCATAAAAATCTGTTTTCATATAAAAAAAATACTACTACGTTTTTACATTATTTGTATTTTCCTTGCAAATTCCTTCTTTCTTTTATTTTAATAATTATTTTTTATTTAACGTGGAAGAACAAATAAAAATAAAAAGAGACAGAGATAGAGGTAGGTACTTTTTTGATAATGTACGTACGTACGTACGTACAATTGAATATAGTGTACTGCTATGTGTGTGTAGAAGATTCGTATATTCGCTCGCGCACTCGTTTTCCTTCGTTTGCCACATGTTGCGCCTTGGTTGTGCGCGGGGCGCAAGTCAGAACCAACCACCACCAGGGGAGCCCCGGGCCGTCAGGATAGACTAAATCTCAACCCCCTCGGCTCGATCAGTTACGCGAATGCCTGCGAACCTATCGCAAGCAAGCTCTACCAATAAGTATTTTTATCTTACGGTATAAGAGTACAACAATTTTTTTTCTACCCGCGTTTTCAAACAATTTCTTTCTCAACTCACTCACATTCTGTTTCTATTATTATTATTGTTATTATTATTCTTTTTATTTATCACATAACGAGATTTAATTCAATTTGTATTTTTTTTCTTCCACCGAGTCCCCCCACTCATTTTTTAACATCAAACAACGGATTAATTTGTTTCTAACATATTTTTTTTTATCTCGCGTGTCCAAGAGGAAGAAAAGAATAAAAAAATAAATAAATCGATAAAGTCAATACGTTTATAAAACAAATTATTTCGTTATTCTGTATTTTTGTGTGGCTAAAAGTCAATTTATCTTGGATATTTTCATTAGTTTAACGCAACGTGTGTAAACGTATTTTGAGAACACGTCGGGTGTTGTTGGTTGTTGTGTTGTTTCATTGTATTTGTTGTTTTAGTTTTGTTTTTGTTTCTTTTTTTATTGGTGTGGCAAAAAAGTGTGATTTCTCGAGTGATCGAAGGAGAATGTGGCGGAGCCAGTGAGAGGAGAGATCTACTTTCTCGATAAGGTCCGTATCATCGAAATTAATCAGTGACCGTAATACGAATTATTTCATCAACGAGTCATTCAGATATATCAATCAATTTTACGCGCCATTTATTGTTTCTAGGTAATTTTATTTTTTGTTTGTTGATATACTTGTTTGTAGTTTTTATTTATTTTCTTTTTTTAGTGATCATTGAACGAATGTGTCTCTCTGTGTATATATGTGGTGTGTTGGGTGATTGATATATATATATATATATGTGTGAGTATAAATGAGAACAGGTTGCTCGTTCGATTCCTTTCTCGTTGTTAAAAAGATTATTTCCAGTAAAATAATCTCAACGATGATTATAACGTATATATATATATATATATATATATATATATATATATACATGTATATGCAGATTGTTCCATATTCGTTCGTTTTTATCATATCGACGGAACGGTTCACATTTTCAATGAAAATTATTCGCGAGAGGATAACGCTCCATACGCTTTTTCATTTCGTTTTTCTCTCTCTCTTTCTCTTTCTCTCTCTATTTCTTTTTTCTCTTTTTACAATTCCTTTTCCTATAAATACATGCATTGTCGATACACGAGTCTCTCTCTCTCTTTTTCTCTTTGATTGTAAAAATGGCTATATAACTGTGAGAGCACATTGTACAGGGTGTCTTAAAAGTCGCTTTATTGCAAAAATAAAAGAAAAAAAAATAAATATTATTTTATTATAAAATAACAAATATCGTTTGTCATTATAATAAAATGAATTTTCTAACTATAGTGTTGTGTGTATAAAAATATGATCCACAATGTTGCCATTTCAGATATTTACTGACAAATAAATTTATGAATTTTTAATAAAGTGACTTTGCAACACATTGACAATTGAAATTACATTTATAGAAATTTGATGAAAAATTAATAAAGTCGTAAAAAGAAAGTTTTCATCATAAGTTTCTTCGTGAAGACTCGTTTTAAACGTAGAAGAAATATGATACAAATCAATAATTCTCGATTGATATTTTTGTAAAGTTTTCATATGAAAAACTTTTGAACAATCGATAGAAGATGTATATATATATATGATACATGAAAGTATTTAATTGTGTACTTTTTCTTGTTTATTTTATTTCCTTTTTACAATTTTCTAAATTAAAGTCGCAAAGTTTAATTGCACGATCTTCAGATACAGGTGGCTGTTACAAATCAATACGGTAACTTTATATCTTCGGGTTTATATCATATATACTATATACGTATATAGATATTTCGTATTGTTAAAGTACGTATCAATTTCCTAGAAATAGTTTGTATCTTTCGTTTGCGGTATGGTAATAAATATATCTGAACTTATTCGTAATGGATAGTTTGTTAAAATAAACGTGAGAACGACGAAATGAAAATACGTGCAACTTCGTTATCACCTTTGATATTGCTAACGAGTGGGTAAAGTTCGCATATATGTCGAACATGTATCTTTTGCACAGCGTTGTAACTACTTCGTACGAATTTAACGTATGCATATACACATATATATATATATATATATATATATATATATATATAGATATATACATGCCATATATAGTTACATCTCGGTCGTGTACGGTCACGTTTGTATTTTTCACCGAACATATTTTTTAATTCAAACGAATGACCCTAGTAATTAATTTACGGGCATCGTTAAATGCCACAAACGAAAAACGCATCGGCACTTGAATTCTTATCATTATCATCGTTAAACTGTACATTTATTTTTTTTGTCTCGATTCTATGTAAATATGATGTTTTTTTTTTTTAAATTTTCTGAAAAACTATACGTACACCACTTACATAAGTAATTTATTGCAAAAAATCAACCAGACATTTTTCCAGATTTATTTTTTATTCAAATTACGGTCAATTTTCTTTTGCTCTTATTTCCTCGACGAAGTTTCGAATTAAAAGATTATTTGCTAAATTGCTTCGTAATTTTTTTGAAATTACCTAACAAATGTGAGATGAGAAAAAGATTGCAGCGTCATTTCTTAATTCATTTCCAAGGATAAATATTTTTTATTGTCTTTTTCATATTTTTCATTATTACGACTTCGTTCACCGGGCAAAACGATTTAACTTACCTTTTTATTATTTTAACAAATTTTACCTTTTCATATTTGAAATAAATTTTTCGCTGTTAACTAGATTTTATTCTACTATTATTTTGTTATGTTCACTTAAAATATTTATTTAAAAATAAATTATACGACAACGTAAATTACTTTATGAATTTTATCTACTTTTATTAGTCGAACCAGAAAAAAAACAAAAGAAATATCGAACGAAAAAAAAACATATCAGCAAGATTTGACCAGGGTTATTATAGATATTTAATATGAGATACTTTAATATAATATTTTCTAATGGGGTGGTATGAAAAAAATCATAGAAATTGTATGACTTCTGCCTACGTTAAAAACCAACGTAAATTCCAATGAGCATATTTTTCCAAACTTCTTTTCGCGATGTTTTGTATTATTATTTTATATTATTATTATTATTATTATTATTATTATTATTATTATTATTATTATTATTATTATGGGTATCGACAGTTGAAAATGAAAAGATGGTTAGTATCTGCATATATATGTATGTACATATATTTATGTATTTATGAATATATGTATAATACAATATTTATGTATCAATATCCGACCAAAGGAATAAACGGAAGTTTTTATTGGATGTTTTTACAGTGGTTACCACTATAACGAAATATAACTCTTTCAGCTTTTTTTAATAATGTATAAGAGAGAGAAAGAGTGTGTGTGTGAGGGAGAGAGAGAGAGAGTAAAAGAGAGACTGAAGAATGATATTTTTATACATTGCCAGACTACAACTCTATTTATAAATCGACGAGTTGTCATTTAACGATAAACCTTGTTCCAAATTTTTTTTTACATAGACTCGAGGGGATGAGGGTCCAATATCTTCTTTTATTCTTTTTTTCCTAATTATCTTTATTTTATATTCCTTTATCTGTCCATTATTGTTCATTTAAGAATTACAAATTAAAATTCGATTTATTTTTTTTGTAAACTTGAAATTAAATAACTTTCGAAACACTTTCCGGACGGTTTCTGGCTAAAAACTTTTATCGAATTGTTTGGGATCATTCTTGTTATTTCTCTTTTTTTTTTTTTTTAATTAAAATTTCTTGTTTTTTTCTTTTTGATAATAGAGAATTTGTTATCAACTTTTATTCCGAAAAATTACGTAAATTACAAGCGTTGTGCAACGACGATTCTTTAATGATTTTCTTTTTATTATATATATATATATATAAGAAATACAACGTGACTAAATCAAAGGTACGCATATGTATAAAGAAACAAAAAAATAAATAGAAAATATCGATAAATTTAATATTTATAATTGGAATGATTATGTAAGATCTTAAAATGGATTTTGTTTTTCTTTTTTCTCTTTTTTATAAATTTAAAGGTTCATAATTACACGAGATTGGATGGGTATTTGTTTACGGTGTAAAATGGTAGCAATAACGATCCTAGGAGGTAAGAAAAAACTAAAGGAATAGTTTCTCCAACGAGCAAGGAAATAGCATGAGTTGGAACGATTCCAGAAAAGCAACGAAATCGATGAACAATGCACGTAACAATAGCACTTTGTTCGATAATGGAGAGCTTTCAATATTCGCTGACTTACAGGATTCCTCGACGAAATCTTCCGTTTCCGTAAATAGAAAGATTTTGCGTAGGATTGCTAAATTAAACCGTCTCATATCTAAAAGATCGGTCTGATTTATAATCGGTTAAAATTTGAATGAAAAATCCTTAATAATAAAAAATGTATACCAAGTTTGAACGAATTTCGGAATAATAAAATTTGTTGTTGCAATCAAAATTATTAATCATTCAATTATTAAAATATTATATTTATCCAACAATAAAATGTACTTTTTCCATAAAAATTCATGTCAATTATAAAATTGAATAATCTTAAAATAGGTATCTAATATACCTTTGCAATTTACAAGTAAATATCAATTATTTCAAATTTATATTGGAAGTTGGTTACTCACTGTTGAATATAACATCTTAAAGAAAATTCTATTATTTAAAGTAATCGTCTATAAATATAATATAAATTTCCAGATATGCATGAGTAAAAAATATTTTTTGAATTGAAGAAAAAAAATTAATGAATTTTTATTTAAAATTATTTAATAGCCTGAAATAAAAACAACGAATTTTTTGTTCGATTTAAAAATGTAAAACATCGATTGATTTGAAGTTATGTATGTAGGTGTATATATATATATATATATATATATATATATATATGAACAGATAAACATCGAAAAGATTCTTTTTTCTCGTTCGAGATTGCTTTTCGAATAAAACAGGTACTTTCGAAAAAAACTAGGTAGATCTATGGTATAAGGGACAAAGAGAAAAATAAAAGGAAAGAGAAAATACGAGGGAGAATTGTAAAAACGGAGGGCTATTCAGCATGCAATGCGTAATTGGGATCCCGAGGTCGTTCTCTCCTTTTATTGCTCATTCCTTGTATTACGAAATCCACCAACTACCGTTCTAATTGAACTTATACAAGTACCCTGGGAAACTTACCATGCTCGAGTTACGTTGCATATTCAACCAAGTTATTTCGTTGCTAAATCTATGTATGAACAACAAATCTATATTAACATTTTTAATAAACATTAACAATCATGTACTTAGAAGTATATTTTAAGTATTCTTTTTGTTTTACATTCATTAGAATTACCGTGGATTTAATAATCATTTAATTTTCATTTTTGAATCGTGAATAAAGAGAATTACATTGAAAATTAAATTTGCATCTAATTTTGTTGAAATTTTAACAATTTAATATTTATTTTGAATCATTTTTTAAAATTTTATATCCTATACTATACATTGTTTTGTGTTGATCAAATTTTCTTTGAAATTTATTTGAGTCTAATACACCCAAAATTATCCATTAATTTTTATAAAAGATTAAAAAATAAAGAAAAAAATAATTGTTAACATATGCTTACACATATAAATATTTGAGGATCGTATATGAGACATTTAGCACGTTCGCAAACACGTTTGGTCAGAAGCTAAGAAGAATAAGAGGTTAAGCTAATAACAAAACAAACGGTATCTCGGTCGATGAATGTTTTGTTTAGACACACATACATCATCCACCCCTCACCCCTCAGCCAGTGTCTATATTTCAATGTGTCATAATTATTCTATTCAAAATCTCGTTCTGTCGAATTTGTAATCACATTGACCTCTTTGTGTTCATTTAAAAGGTGTTTTAATGTCTGTTAAATATACTACTACATAATTTGTTTTTATATTCAATCATCTTCGAATTTCGAAAGATTTAAGAACTATATTAGAATAGTAAGCAATATATTTCACGTATACGCACACGTGCTTAGTTTTATGTAAAATGTTATGCATATATTATATTCACAAGTGTTTGTGTATGTTATTGTAGAGAGTGATATATATGTGGATACGTGTGTGTGAATATGTTACAGCGTTAAATTGTATAATTCGTTTAATATCGTAGAAACCCTTGATTTTATTTCATTTATTTTTTATTTTAAATTTAAACAGTTGGATATATAATTATTTTAAAGTTTAACTAGTAATTTAACGAATTAACGAATTTTACAAAGTAACGTCAATACCATATACAGAAGTTCAACGGACAAGTGTGTTGATTCAGCTCGTAAAAATAGTTGACTAAATCAATTGGTGATTATATTTTATTTGCTTTTACTGTACTGACATGAGATATGTTATTTATTGCGCTATTTATTGAATATTTTTAGATATATATATATATGGGGTATTTCACATCAGTTAAATTCGATTAAAAATGTCAAAGGAAAAAGTTGCAGTATTGAAAGAGAAGGGGAGGAGAGAGTTACATGTAATACGATTGAAAGAATGTTTTCTTTCATTTTATGGCTATCGATATTTCTTTTCTTTTTTTTCTTTTTTGTTTGAAAGAAACTGAAGTTTTTTTTTCTTCTTCTTTACGATATTCTTTTAAAGCACGAAAGAACAAATTAATATGATCATAAAATATGATCATATTAAATACGATCATTTATTTCCTTGAAATGTTTAATATTTATAATAAAATAATTGATACAAATCGAATGTAGTTATCGATCATATTTTAAACTTTGATTTTTCGCAGTACATACGAACACGTACATGCATATATTTATTGTATTGTCATGAAAATGATGAAAAGCAAGATTAATATATAATTGATTGGATTTATTTACAGATCTGTGCCGCAGATCACGCGGCGGGGTGGGCCCGATGCCGGTTAGGAAGGGCCTCCTCGCCCCACAAAATACTTTCCTCGATACAATCGCAACACGTTTCGATGGAACCCGTAAGTTTTATAAGAATTCATTTAATTATTAGATATTATTGCATACTTTTTTTGTTATTATATTTCATTTCTTTTTACCAAGGGAAAAATATACGTACAATATTTTCACGTGTGTGATTACAATTATTGATTGACCACGTGTATAATATATCTATTGTCATTATAAATGTATGTATATTTTTCGTTTTCATTTATTATTTGTATATTATTTTCTCTCAAAGAGTAATACACTTCAATATGTAAAACTTTGTAACAGGAGTAATTTTTGTGTAACACGTTATTCCTTCATTAACTTGGACTTAACTAATTGATTGGTGTAAAGTACAGTTAAATTATTAACGAATTTAAATCTAGAGATAATCAATTTTTTATTTTAAATATCGAAGTTCAAAGGGATCGGGGAAAATAATATACCTTTAATGAGAAAAATAATTTGATTTCTTTGAAATGAATTCAGAAAGACAGATTAATTGGACCTATAGATTGAATGTCGTAATAAAAAATTGGTTTTTAATATAACGATGATAGTAAAACGAGTCTAATCAAATACACATAATTTTGGTTTATATACTTGTTTGATTTTAAATCTCGTTAGAGTGTATTTTATTAGCATGAAATACCATTTTATTTTCTAACGAGAATACAACACAAAAATGTGTTCGAATGTAATCTCTATTGAATTTATATTGATCTCTATATTTACAATAAATATTAAATTCAAAATAATAGAACTGGGGGGTGAAATAATAAAAACAAAAGTTTAATCTATTTTCGTAGAGAAAAAAATAAAGTAAATATAATGTTATTTCAAATATATATATATATAGATTTACATATCCAAATGTTTTGCAATGAATATGTAAACTCGTGTATGTTCGCGAGTATTATAAATAAAAAACAAATATATCATAAAATTTCGAATAGGTAGATGGTAGAATTTTGAAAACTGAAGTAAAATAAATTTTATTTGAAATATAAATAATGTTCAAAATGATATATAATATTTTAACAATAATTTGATCAAACGAATGATACGAGTAATTGATTAATAAAACAAATTATAAATAATTATTAAAAGTAATAAGCATTTGTTTCTTTCATTAAATTATTTATATATTTGCAAGTAAATATAAATATTTTTCAATGTAAATATATATATAATTAGCGCTGTTTGAATTAAATATAAATAATGCAATATGTGTAGAAAATAACTCATGCGTATTATATTTATTTTGATATCAACATAAAAAATATAGAAATAATATTAATAAATAAATAAATTTAGGAAATATTTCATCCTACTTTTTTTGCCCATTATTTTGTGCAAGTCATCGAGTTAACGATCTACACGATATCTTTAATAAATTTGTTCCACATTTCTTCATATTAATCGTAAATACTTTGTCCTACTTCTTCGATGACATATTCGATAATTATAAGTTTTCTAACCGTAAGGTAACATTTTTTTTTTTAATTTCCGTGATCCTAATAAATTACGAACCACCAAATATCAATCATGCGAAATAAAAGTTTTAAATATAATAATACCGTACTTCGACAGCAATGTTTTATTTTTTATTGTATCGAGAGAAAAAGGTTAATTAAAAAATTGAAATAATTTTATATCTTTTTCTTTGTTTTATTTTTTTTTTATATTAATATATAATTACTTTCATTTTTCGATTAATCGTAATCTCTTTATTTTTTATATAAGTTCATTAAGTTTAACAATATAATATATTTATTTATYTATTTGATTTAAATAGCTTTATATCTTTTTTGTTGCTTTTTATTTTTTTTATAAAATATTGATGTCAAGTATCATACATAAGGTGGTCAAAATTTCTCATTAAACCATTTGACGAAATCGAGTGATGCGAATTAAATTGTTATTGTTATCGTTTAACCTAGGAAATTGATTTCGCGTCATCTCTTGCTAAATTCAATGGCTTTGAATCAGATTCGGACGTGCAACGATGATACACGGATTACGTGTTGTCCGATAACTGTCTACCTACAGAATGAAATTGCGATGAAAATGCGATTTGATATACGGCGCAAACTAGAAAACAATATTTGCTTTTTCTTTTCTTTTTCATTAGTTACATTGAATGTTAGATTTCTTCGATGCCAATTCAATATTTCGTCATATTTCAAATATTCATCAAAATACAAAGTCGGTCCGATATTTATTATTACTTCAAATATACGTATCCGTTATTGTTGATTTTCTATTAAAAAAAAAAAAAAAAATATTCAGGACAAAGTTTTGATATTTCCATATCTGATATTTTTTTCTTTTTTGAGAAAGATTTCAAGATGGTTTGGTTTAAACAAATTTTTTTCTTTGCATAAATTAATATTATTCTGATTAAAAGAAATATTTGAATAAAAATATTGGAAAATGATTAGTTCGTATCTCGATAAAAAATGTTTGATAATTCACGCAAACTATAAAATGTCGTATTTTTTTTTTTGGTCAAAGTTAAAAAAACCTTTTAAAGGATAAAGTTTTATCGTAGATTACATATTCATGATCATATATTTTTGGTTTTTATCTACAAGTGTCATAATGCTTATGCATAAAATAAAATATAAAATAACTGAAATATTTGTAATGGTAATAATTGTTAAATCACACCTTACATATTTTATATATTTTAAGTACAATAATGAATATATAATTTCTTTTTATTCACATAAAACATGATACTCTCTCTCTTTCTCTCTCTCTCTCTCTACCTACAAATTTCACGATACTACATAATTGCGATATATAATATTACAGAACGTAATGTGAGTTGATTAATTAATTAACGAAAGAAACATTTGAAAAATTCTCCTCTCTTGTATTTAATATAAAAATGAAATCTTTTAATCTACTTTGACACATATTATTATTCGAATAAAATTATCATCTTTTTTATACTTGTATTTCTCATAAAATATTCGTATTACTTATCAATACCAAAAAATAATTCAAATGATTACTTAATATAATTTTATTTATTACAAATAGATTTAAAAAGTATTACGTTAATATAATATTATATATCTTATTTTAAATTGACATTGTATATAATTTTTATTATCATTGCGTAATGTATTGTATATGTAATCAATAATCGATTATTAGAAATTAGTATGCATTAAATTGTTGGTAAAATTATTGTACGTAATAAATAACGTAAAATATGTTAAATTAGTTCGCAAAAATATGGTATCAATCATTTTAATAACATGTGGACGTGTTGTAATAATTATCATAGAACATGGAAACGTGTCCATAGAATATTTCCATGATATAGATATAGTCTGAGCGTTAGCAGAGGTTCAGAATGGCATTAAATGATGCAAGTTGCAGCTGTACACACTCGCGGGAGTAACGTTCTTCGATTAAATCATACTGAAATTGTACCAGCTGCAATATTATACGTTTCTATCGTATGTATTCTTGTATACGAGTTTCTAAATTTATTACTGTTTGTCAATTAAAAATCTTTTATGAGGTAATATGTTATATTTTACTAATCGCTCGTTTGATCAAAAATAAAATAAAAAAAAATAAATTTTTTTATTTTATTAAAAAATACATTAAAAATTACTAAAGAGAATAATTAGTTACATTTAAATCGGATATACAATCGTAATACATAAGACGTAATACATAATACATAACGTTTGTTCTAATAACACGAAAAACATAATAGAAACATAATTACATCTACTAATCTTGAAATTGTAATTAAGATTAAAGTAAGTATATTAATTATTGTTGATTAATAATCTTCGTTTGTGGCAAGCTTCATAATTTTAAAAGATGATAAATGATGTCAGTTATGAAATTAGTTTTTTTTTATTTCTACAATATTTTACTAATATCTAATTATTATATATTATGATATTTGGTTGTATGAGAAGAGTAATACCATCATTAGATTTTAGCAATCAGATTCTTCGTATATATAAATTCCTTTTGGTGTATTGAGTACGAGAAACGTCAGCTTTACAAGGTCGTATACGAATTGGTATTAAATGTTCCTTCCTGTGAAATCATATGATGATCGTACTGCAATACATACTCAAAATCGATTATATTATCTATTGAAGCAAGTAGCTTGTGCATATTTCAGCAAAATTATTCTGTAGTCTCTAATATCAAAGTTTTTCAAAATTTTACTTATTGAAAGGACACTTAATAAATTTTGACAAATTTTTAATGAAACATCTTACGTTTAGTTATTTAATAAGATAGGTTACATAATAAATAAATATGAAACATTATAGAAATTCGATTATAGAAATTATTAATAATAATTAATAAGTTAATGTTTTATGGAATATATTTTGAGAAATGTTTTTCGAATTGAATTCTCATCAATTGGAGTATTTTTTTCGTTTTGTTTATTCGTGTCCCTCTTTACTCTTTCTTTTTTGTTTTTTTCTTTTTCTTTTCCAATTAAACAAGAGTGAGTTAACTTCCTATAATGTTCATTGGTATCAAATTATAGTGATATCGATCTAGACTTTACCAACTACGAAGAATCTAATTACGACGAAGATAGTTCTAGATGATCATCGTTTGTTTTTAACATTGTCGTTGACATCTTCTTCTTCGTTGTCGTCTTCGTCGTGTTAATTAAATTACAGAGAAGTTGTATCCTATACGCGAATACTGTTGCAATCGGGATATTATTTCTTTTCTTCCTATCATCTTCAAGTTGCAATAAAAAAATTCAATTTTTCGTACTTAAAGTATAATATTAAAATCGTTGTGTATAGTTTGATGTAAAACTTAAAGATCTTTCTCGTGGTAAGTTAAGCGTTCGATTTTTAATGGGAAAAGTACGTTGACATCGTTAAAACGATCCTTCAAGAGTTTTGTTTTCATTTTTTTCCCTCTCAAAGGAAAACTTAAAAAAAAAAAAATAGAAGATATACATTTATAACTTTTATTATTCTAAACACTTTTTTAAGAGGATTATTATACTTGGCTAAAT